CCAGCCTGTGGCATGGTGGTGGGGGTGGCTGGGTCCCTCGTGGCTGACTCCACGATGCACATCTCAGACCCAGCAGCTTAAAAAATACCGGGCACAAGTGCACGTACCCAAGTCCCAAAAGGAGAATGGAGGAGAGGGGACTCGGCCATGCCCCTGGGGCTGATTTCTCACTTTCTCTCTCTCTCTGTGTCTCTCTAGTGAGCGCATGCATCCTATCACAAACTTAAATAAATAAATAGAATAAAATAAAAAGACTTTAAAAAGAAAGAAAAGGGGTGTCCCGTCGTGAGCCGCAGTCTGCCCTGAAGCATCTGTGGATAGACTCTGAGGTCTCCTGAGGGGGTTTGGTGTGATTCGTCAAGCATGGCGTTGATGTCACCAGATTATAGTCTCCACCTGCTGCTCGTTCGTAGCTACAGGTTGGGAGCCCCTCTTCTCTTCCTCCATTCTTAAATGAGACAGGGAGTGTGGGCGGGCGAGCTCTGTACAGTCTCACAGTCGCGCTCCTCTGTCCCAGCCTCCCAGTTAGCTAGGATGACAGGCATGCCCTGCCGTACCCAGCCTGTTCAGGGTGGTCTAGGATCCAGACCAGGCCTCCCAGGTGGCCCCAGCCTCATGTCACCACACCTCACTGCTGACACCACCTGAGCTGGGCAAACGGCCGCTGAGAGAAAGTCCCTGAATGACCTCCGTGGGCCTCCACTCGGACGGAGGACGGGTCAGCAGGGTGGACGACGGTGCAGAGGGAATGCCACCCTCCGTAAGGTGACCCACACGGGGAGGTTCCAGGGGCACGCCTGCGACCCGACCCCTACGTATGCCAGCACACACGTGACCGTGGTCCGGGGCTCACTGAGGCTGGGGAGGGCCACGGTGTGAAGACCTGCTGGGGGTGCCTGTCTCTCTGCCTGTCTTTCTTGCTCATGGAGGAAAGGAGTGGGTACACTGAAAAGAGAAGAAGGGGCCCTCCCTCTGTCTTTGCCGGCTTCTCACTTCCCAGGTTGGGGTATTCTGAGGAGCCGGGTTTGGGCTTTTTTTTTGTTTCTTTGTAGAGAGATTTTTGCTATAGGACATGTGCACTCACCAGAGAGACAGAAAGCGAGAAATCATTCCCCGGGGGGATGGCCACACCACACCCCTTCTCCTCCATTCTCCTCTCAGGATTATGGGTGCACACACACACACACACACACACACACACACACACACAGACACACGCCTGACTTAAGTTTCAACCCTCTGGGTCTGGGATTCGAACCATGGTAGGCCATGTGGGGGTCCAGAGACGTAACCACTGCACCATGCGCTGGTGGGAGTGGTCAGTGGGATTGGGGTTTTCACCTCCCCTGAGCCCCAGTGGCGGTGGGGAGATTGCAGAATTCCTCTTATTGCCCTCAACCTGTTCAGAACACAGGCCTAAAACTTGGGCAAGCCCTATCAGTGCCCCACTTCTGCGATCCCTTGTGAGGCCTGTCTTCAGTACTCCCAGCAGCCAGTGCGTCCCGGGACCGGCACTGGGAGCAAGATCCGTGAGTCCAGGCGAGGAAGGCCTGTTGGAGTCGGCAGGTGGGCGGCTCCGAGGACAGAGAGGTAGAGAGGCCCCGGAGCACCTGGCTGGCCGTGGGGACCGGCCTGGACTCCTCCCGTTTCTCAGTCATTTCTAATTTGCTTATGTAGTTGCACATCACCGCAGGCTACAGTGTGTGCTTTCAAAACACAGGTACAGTGCGTAGTGACCGACTCAGGCGCTGCCCTCCACCAGCTCCAGCGTTTACCACTCCTCCGTGTCGTGCTCACTCAAATCTGCTCTCGTTACTCTGAAATACGTGTCGCGTGGCCACCGCCCTTCCCGACGGCGCCGTAGTCCTCTGTAACTCACCCCACGCTCCCATGCGCGCCGTGCCAGTTAGCCAAGTGCACCGCCTCTTCGCAGGCCTCCCCTCCCTGGTCTCTGCTAGCCCTTGTTACTTCTAGCTCTCTGCAGAGTAACCCCTGCCTCGCACTGAGGAGTGCGAAAGACAAACACTGCCTCCACAGTGTTTGCCTTTCAGAACCTGGCTTGTTTCACTTACAACACTTCCTTTATTTTCATCCATTTTGCCTGAAATGAAAGAAATCCATCCTTTTTTCAGTGGGATGGCTCTCAGAGCATAATTTCTTTTTCATCAGATTGGGGGCACTTGGGTTGATTCCGTACCTCAGCCACTGCCACCTATGAAAATTAACTCAAGATGGACTTAAGTCTTACGGGTAATGCCCAAAATGACGAAATTGCTAGGTAAAAATGGAGGAAACTGTAAGGACATTGGTCTCGGGAGGATTTTTAAGTAACGCCTCAAAATCACAGGCAGCAGTACCAAAGATAGATAACGCGGGGTTACAGCCCACTGCGAGCCTTCCACCCAGCCACGAAAACCGTCAGTACAGTGGAAGGACAGCTGGGAGTCTATTCTTTGTAACATTCACTTATTTATTTATTTATTTATTTTTATGATTTTTGCGTCACTGGGTCCAGGACTTGGACCACGGTCGGCTGTGTGGAAGTCCAGTGCCTCAACCACCACGCCACCTGCTGGATCCCCTAGGAGTCTTTTTAAAGTTAAATTTTCTTTTCCTTTTCACTGTGAACCAAGCACCTACCAGAAAGCCCACCTGTCCCGGAGGAGGAGTTCCCATCTGTCCCCAGGGAAGGGACTCCCATCTGTCCCCAGGGAAAGGGCTCCACCTGTTGAGGGGGGGGAGTTCCCATCTGTTCCCGGGGAAGGGGCTCCCATCTGTCCTAGGGGAGGAGCTCCACCTGTTGTGGGGGGGAGTTCCCATCTGTCCCGGGGGCGGAGCTCCCACACGCCCGGAGGAGGAGCTTCCACCTGTCCCTGCTCGGTCCTTGTTCTCACAGGAAGACTGTCTATGGAGCAGGGAGGGCTTTCTCCCCAGAGATCCCAGGTTGTGGGGAGAGGACTGAAACAGCAAGAGCCAGGAGGGCTCTAAAACCCTGTCTGGCCTTGGTCACTGGTTGTTAATTGGGGTTGTATGTAGCTGCCGATGCTAATGATGTTTAGCCAAGTAAGTTTCAGGAAGGCTGGCTAGGGGCCGGCGGTGATGTGGTGGTTGAGGGCGCTGGACTCCCACATGGCTGACTGTGGTTCAGGCCCCCAACCTGGCGTCTTCTTTCTAACTTTCCCTCTCACTACCTCTCTCTCTCTCTTTCTCGCTCTCTCTCTCGCTCACTCTGTCTTTCTCTGGTCAAACTGAGAAAGGCTGACTATACAAAGCTAATCTGTGGTTTATTTGAGAATAAGATGTCTCTGAGCCTTCAGTGACTGTCCCACGGTGTGGACAGTAATTCCCTGCTGTGCTCGGACCAGCTGGTGGCAGGGCAGTAACACAGCAGGACCCACGTGGGCAGGATCCTGGGGCCTCTCTGAGCAGACCAGGCCCAGGCATGCCCATGATCCAGACCCAGACCAGCTGAGAGAGAGGGTGGATCCCAGCTTGAGGACCTCTGCGGATGCCTGCCCCTCTCTCTCTTCTTTGTGCTCTCTCATGGAGGAAATAAGCTAAAAAAAAAAAAAAAAAAAAACAGGGCCAGCCCCATAGCACACTGGTTAAGCATTATGCATAGGGAACCGATTCCACATGCCGACTGGTTCAGATCCAGCCCTGGAGACTTCAAAAGCACACCAGACATGTGTGCGTGCCCACCCAAAATCCTGATAGGGTGGAGAAATGGAGGGAAAAGGATTGCAGCATGACCACACCCCACTGGGGGAGTTCTCTCTCTGTCATAGACATGTGTCCTCGGGTGGGGGGGGGGATAGATAGATAGATAGATAGATAGATAGACAGACAGACAGACAGATGGCCTCACCTAGCCTGGTGTTGCAGTCAGTAGCAAAGGGACCTGCATTCTGAAAGCCATGTTGCCAATCACAGGTTCAGATCCCAGGTCAGCCTGAAAACGCTCCTGGTACCCGTATGTGCATGAGCTGCAGGCCCAGCAAAAAGGATGATGGCGTGATGAGACTGTTGAGGGTGTTTCTCCCAAGCCGTCCCACACACACACTTGGGGTCTCTGTAATGAATTAAAAAAAAATTTAATGAAATATAAGGGCTAGCAGGTGGCGTTGTGGTCAGGGCACTGGATCCCACATGAGCTCCACGGTTCAAGTCCTAGACCCAAGGCCTTGAAAAACACAACAGATGCGTATGCATGCACGCCCAAAGTCCCAACAAAATGGAAAATGGAGGAGAAGGGATTGCAGCTTGGCCATGCCCCATTAGGGGGTGCTTTCTCTCTGTGTCTCTCTGTCTCACTTTGGTGCATGCACATACCCTCGCCAAAGTTTAAAAAAAAAAAAGAGAGAGAGAGAAGCCCTTTTGCTCTCCCTTTCTGAGCACCGAAAGCTATTCTCGTGTATCCTGTGGTTTGGCCAATAGCAGGCCATTCTTGGTACCAAAATTAGATGCACCCCAAGCAGATTTGGATAGTGTATTTTCATGTTGCCTTACAGAAAACCCAAAGATGGGCGCCCCCTTCCCAGTCCCTTCATGTTCTGTGAGGCCGAACACTTCGGTGGTTCACACTGCTCTTCTTCCCCACAGAACATCGACATCACCAACTTCAGCAGCAGCTGGAGCGACGGCCTGGCCTTCTGTGCTCTGCTGCACACCTACCTGCCTGCCCACATCCCCTACCAGGAGCTGAACAGCCAGGAGAAAGTAAGTCACCCACTCCCCGGGCCGTGTGGCCTCTGGAAAGTGCAGGGAAACTCCTCGTTGCATGGCACAGCCCTGAGGGCAGAGCTTACAGACTTGACCTAGAACGAGGGTGCTCATCCTAGATGCCTCGAGCTGGACACCATAGAGTCCCCCCATGGCTGCTGCTCCTCGGTACGGACAGCGCGTTCCCCTTGTTACCTAGAAGAACACAGTGGAGACCAGGTTGCTGTGGCCGTGGAGAAGTCCCTCTCCACAGTTTCCTGGGGAAAACCCTGATGAACTCTCACCTTCATGGTCTCAGGATCTTGGCCAGCGTTTTTCAGAGTCTACACCAGAGACCTAGCAAGCCCACCAGAAAGAGTTGCTTGCTCAGACAGGCTTGGGAAACCGTGAGAAGCCTTTAGAATATTCTTGGGAAATGCATATTATAAAACAACTACACATAGATTTCAGAAATTTTTTGCACCAAAATAAACTCATTCTTTAATTCTATTTTTCCATGACTTTTTGGAGTTCTCTGACACAAGATATATTACATTTTTAGAGACCACATAGAAGATTTCAAGAAATCTTCTATTTAAAAAATCGTGTGATTTCATTTAACCCAGTGTGTGTCAGATCCACCAGCATTTTCCCCTGTAATCACCCACAGCAAGTTTGGCAGGCTGTTCCTGTTAAGGGCCAAATAGTCGACTTGTGGTCACTTGGTCTCTGTCACGGTTACAGCCCTACCACGGGGCTACAGCGGCCACTGACAGTGTGTAAATGAATGGACTTGGCTGTGACCAATAAAACTTTATTGACCAAAACAAGCCGTGGACGAGATTCGGCCCTTGGGCAGTAGTTGGCCAATCCCTGAACTAGAGCACCCCGCAAAATCACATCCAGGGCGTATGCCGTGGAGAGTGCTGTCCTGGGCTGCACTTAGGCATCCGTGGGCGCTTCTGGCCGCGCGTCCTGGACAGTGATAAAGACGGCAGTGGGCAGGGTAGACCTGTGCTGTGCCCCGGTGAGGCAGGCGGGCACTAAGCAAGTGATCAACTCGTAACGAGTCAAGTCATAAGCGATCATAAACTGAGACAGCGCCGAGAGAAACAGCCGTGAGAGCGAGAAGGGGATCTTGCTCGGATCAGGAACACCAGGGTTGTCTTTCCTAGGAGGTGGGGTTCAGACTAACCTCCGGAAAATAGAGGGGGCGGGGGCAACTATGCCTTGCACTAGGGGGCACTTGCCAGGGCCAGGGAGGACCTCGCAGTGGTCCCGGATGTGAAGAAGCCTTGAGCTGGGTTCAGCAAGTGGGAGGGCCGTCTGTGATGGAGCCAGGGAAGCAGGCAGAGGGGCAGATCCCGCAGGGCTCTGCTCGTGGCTCCGTGACAGGTTTGCGTTTGGCTCCAAGCACAGTGGGAAGCTGTGGACGGGTGCTCAGCAATACAGAGGCAGACGTGATTCCTGTTTTTAAAAGAGCCCTCCGGCCGTTACAAGAAATAATGAATAGGAAGAACAACAAGAACGAAAGAGGAGCTGCTGGCCAGGAGGCCGTGGCAGTGGTCAGCGTGACAGTTCGATGTCCAGGCTTCACCCATTAATGGGGACCAGGGTGGTGGTAACACAGATAGGAAGACACAGGAAGATGCAAAATGATACCGAATCAACTGAACTCAGTGACAGATAGGCTGTCGGGAAGAGAGAGGAGTCACAGATGACTCCCACGTGTCTTTTTTCTGCAATAGGAACAGTTTCTGAGATGGAGATCAGGCATAGATATGTTTAATAATCTGTTGCAGGAAGTGGCATAATGGTTATGTCACTGAACTCCCATGTAGTCAACCGTGGTTCAAGTCTCAGACCGGCAGCTTAAAACTCACACTGCGCACAGGTGTATGCATGCCCAAGATCCCGAGGGAAGAATGGAGGAGAAGGGATTGCAGTGTGGCCATCCCCCATGGGGGGTGATTTCTCACTCTCTGTCTCTGTCTCTTTGGCGAGTGCATGCACCCTAAAGTGAAAAAGAAATAAACTCTCAAAAATTAAAAAAATAAAAGCCTGTTTCAGATCAGCCCTGTAGCCTAGTGGTTAAGGGAGCTGGATCTCACATGGCCGACCACTCTGAATACTGCCCCAGCAGCTTGAAAAACACACCAGGCACATGCCTGAGTGCCCCAAATCCTGACAGGCTAGAGAAATGAAGGAGAAGGGATTGTGGCATGGCTATGCCCTTTGAGGGGTGGTTTTTCCCTCTCCCTCTCTCTTTTTCTCTGTATCTCTGGTGAAGTCACGCACCCTCTGGAAATTAAAATAAATTAATAGGGGCCAGCAGGTGGCATAGTGGTTGAGGCATTGGATGCCTGTGTGACCAACTATGGTTTGAGTCCCTGACCTGATGGCTTGAAACTCACACCAGGCGCACATGCGTATGTGCCCAAAATCTCGAGAGGAGAATGGAGGAGAAGGGATTGCGGTGTGGTCATCCCTTCTGGGATGTAATTTCTCACTCTCTGTTTCTCTGTCTCTCTAGTAAGTGCATGCTCCCTGGGGCAAAAACCTCTCAAAATAAAATTAAATAAATAAATAAAAGTTCTGTTCTGATTATCCCACATTGGGACTTAAATAAAATCCAAAGAATAGTCATGGCAATGTGATAACTGATCATGGATTTAAATTTTTAATGTGCTAGTCAGAGTTCTCCAAAAGGACAGATGCAACAGGATATGTATGTGTGTAGATGTGGATGGGGGCCAGCAGGTGGCATGGTGGTTAAGACACTGGACTCCCATATGGCAGACCGCAGTTCAAACCCCAGGCCCAGTGGCTTGAAAATTATGCCAGGCATGCATGTTCCAAATTTCTAGAGGAGAATGGAGGAGACGGGATTGAGCAGGTGTGGCCATCCGCCACAGAGGGTGACTTCTCACTTTCCCTCTCTCTGCCTCTCTCTGGCTCATGCAGGCGCCCTATGGTAAAAACAAATAAGCAAACAAAGTGAATGGATGAGTGGGTAGATAGATATTGATTTATTTCAAAGGATCAGCTCAACAATTTTGAAACTGGCGAGTCCTGAATCTGCAGGTGAGTCAGCAGGCCTGAGACCCCACGAAGCGCCTGCTGCGGTGCAGTCTGCAGTTCCCTCGGGGACATCCGTCTTTCTGTGAAGGCTTCAACTGATTGGATGAGGCCCACCCACAATATGGGGGGTCAGCTGCTTTACCAGATCTGCTCATTTCAGTGTTACCTCCCATGTAAAATACTTTCACAGAGACACCTAGAATACCGTCCGGCCGTTATCTGGGTATCATGGCCTAGCCAACCTGACACCTAACCGTCACAGAATGCATTCGAATTCTGGAGGCGGGCCAGCTCATGGCCTGGTGCTTAAGGGAGCTGGATCCTACTTGACCAACCATGTGGTTTAAGTCTCAGGCTTGGTGGCTTGAAACACATGCCCAGTTGGGACCAGCAGAGGGTGTAACGGTTACGTTGCTGGACTCCCACATACTCAACTGTGGTTTGAGCCCCAAACCAAGCAGCTTAAAACTCATGGCAGGCACATGTGCGTGTGCCCAAAATCCTGAGAGAATGGAGGAGAAGGGATTGAAGCATGGCCATCCCCCCCAACAGGGGGAGGGGATGATTTCTTGCTTTCTGTCTCTGTCTCTCCAGTGAGCGCACGCACCCTATAGTAAAAGTCTCTCTAAAAAAAAGAAAAACACATCCAATGCTTGTGTGCCTAAAACCCCAAAAGGAGAGAGAAGTAGAGGAGAACAGGTCGGGCTGTGTCCGTGGCCCACTAGGGGTGCTTGCTCCTTCTCTCTGTCTCTGGAGAGCACACACACCCACTGGCAATTTTAAAAAATCATAGGACATAATGTGTGTGTGTGCGCGTGCGGGTGTGTATGCGTGCATGTGTGTACATGTTTATTTTGGTGCAAAAAAATTAAATCCATGCATAGTATTTTCACAATATGCATATTCCAGAAACTTTTTTTAAGGCCCCCTGGTAAGTGTAAGTTGAAGCATTCACATACACACACACACTTACTATTTTTTTTTTTTTTGAGAAGATTTTTGCTATAGGGTGCATGCGTTCGCCAGAAAGACAGACAGACAGAAAGAAATCACCCCCTGGGGGGAATGACCACGCCACGATCCCTTCTCTTCCATTCTCCTCTCGGGATCTTGGGCATGCACGCACACACACCAGTGTGAGTTTAAGCCACCAGGTCCAGGACTTGAACCACTGTCGACCACATGGGAGTCTAGCAACACAGCCATTACATCAACTGCTGGTCCCTGACACACACACACACACACACACACACACACTCTCTAAAACCCATGTCTTCCTGAAAATGGGTTGTGTTTGTCCACCGTCAACAGACTCGGCCTCCTTTGTCCTTGAATCAACACGACCTGCTGGGAAATAACAGGCCTAAATGTGTTTGCTTTCTCTCCTTGAATTGTGATGACCGAAACTCCTTTGTCCCCCTCTGCATCCCTGCGGTTCCCCACACGGATGCTCCGCCAGCTGCCCGGGCCCCCCCATAAATGGAGACGTGCAGTAGGACAGGCAGACACCGCCATGGGCTGCTCTCCTGCTGTCCCCTGGGACGGGCGGCTGTTTTCTATATTTAGGGTTGAACTTCTGTCCGTCTGTCATACTGCTGTCAGGGAGCGCAGAAGCCAGATGGAAAGACTAGGGGTCTGTGATGGGGTCGTGGGCCGAGGAGTCAGCTCCAGACATCGGATTCGGTTGTCAGTTGTACTTAATATACCAGTTTAACCGGATTTTCCTTTATTCAGGCTTTGAGATGAGTTATGGAGTGGAGAGGGGCATGACCAAATGATTCTTAAGTTCATCTGGATGAGAAAACACCAGAGAATAGCCAGGAAGACTCTCAGGGAGAAGCTACAAGCTAGGCCGAATGCTCGTGAAGCAGTGTTGCTAACAGTCTGAGGGGAGGTTATTTGCAACCTAGAATTCTCTGTCTAGCCAAACTGTTAGGCCAGTGTGATGGTAAAAATAAAACTTTTTTTTTTTTCTTGAGAGGTTTTCCTATAGGGCACATGTGCTCACCAGAAAGACAGAGAGAGCCAGAGAGACAGAAAGCAAAAAATCATCCCCCAGGGGGATGGCCATGCCATAGTCACTTCTCCTCCATTCTCCTCTCGGGATCTTGAGCATGCATGCACACGCGCCCTGCGTGAGTTTAAGCTGCCAGGTCCAGGACTTGAACCATGGTCAACTACGTGGAGTCCAGCGACATAGCCATTACACCAACTCCTGGTCCCAAAGAAAACTTTTTGTATATGAATGCACCCAGAATATGTTTGTCCCACAGATCTTTTCTTTTCTTTTTAATGTCCAGAGGGTGCATGAGCCCACTAGAAAGAGTAGGGAAGAATGGAGCATGGTCACACTGCGATCTCTTCTCCATTTCTCTACCCTGTCGAGATTTTGGCCACACGCACGGGCGCACACACACACACACACACACACACACCTGGCATGTTTCTCAAACACACAGGACCAAGATTCGTACCGTGTTGGCCATGCAGGCTCTGGCTGCCTTAACTACTCAGTTATAGGGCTGGCCCTAGTTTGATTGGTTTTATTAAAACTATAGCACCTATAGAATTATCTCCTTTTTTCTAAAATTAGGATTTAAAAGTCTATCCATCTTTCTTTCTCTTTTAATTGCTTGAGGGTACATGTGCTTATCAGAGAGAGACCACCTGCCCGGGGGCTTGGCCATACCGCAGTCCCTCACCGTCTCCATCCTGTCGGGATTCTGAGCGCGCGCACACACACACACACACACACACACGCACACACACAGGGGTTTCAAGCTCCCAGGGCTGGGATTCCAGTTGTGCTCAGCCGTGTGAGATCGGCACCCTGCGCACCGCACTGAGCTGCCATACTTTGGCTCCTGCCCCACGTCCGTCCTTAAGAAACACGTACTCTGATGAAACAGGAGTGTGTGTAATTCAGACATCCACAGAAGGTTCTGGAGGGCCCTGAGGACTGCAGGATTTCAGAGGATGATGTCATTACGACCTCAAGGGTGTGATACGGGAGAAAATGAGAAGCGGGAGTCAGCGTGGGCCGCGGGGAGAGCATGAATTACAAGAGCAGTCAGAATGAGGAAGAAGCCAGATGAGGCCTGAAGTCCATCTCCAATAAGAAAGATCCAAACCAGGCCACGGGGGAAGGAGAAAAGAGAAACACACGTTCCAAGAGAGGGCCCCCAAGTCCGAGGCAGACCAAGAGGGGGCGCAGCGTGAGGCAGCTGTGGGGTAACGAAGAGGAAAAGCCCTTCGAAGTGGTTTGAGTGGCGCGGGATCCCGACTTGGGACCTTGGGAGGAGGGATCGTACCCAGAGCTCGCTTCCGTGTAGTGCCGTGGGCTGTTTGTGGCTTTCAGAGCCGTCCTGGCAAGAGAAGGCTTCTGTGTGATTCCAGGGGAGGAGGCAAGCGTTCTGAGTTTCAGCAGCCGGAGAGTGCAACTGGGCAGTGTGGAGCAGGATGGGGAACCTCTTATCATGCGAAGTGGAGGCGGGAAGTGCTGCTCCCGGCTGATAGAACAAAATAGAAGTTTAAGGCTATTATTGACCTAATAATACAGGAACTAAAATGAGCCCTGGACTCTAATGAAGGGAGGGGAGCTGCGTGGCTCCCCCTGAGCCCCGTGAGAGGGGTCAGTAGCTAACGCCTTGTCTCGGAAAGCAAGAAATGGGTCTGCATGGAACTAGAGAGAAATGTGGCATGGCTCTGTAAGGACCAGGATTAGCGAAAGGAACCGGTTTTTTTTTTCATTTGTTTACTTTTTAATTATTTAATAGTTGTCTATTATTTTGATCCTTTTATTTGTCTTTTTTTTTTTTTTGAGAGTTTTTTGCTATAGGGCGCACGCACTCGCCAGAAAGACAGAGAGAGACAGAAAGCGAGAAATCACTCCCCAGGGGGGATGGCCAGGCCTCCTTTTCCTCTTGGGATCTTGGGCACACATGCACACGCGCCCAGCATGAGTTTAAGCCACCAGGTCTGCAGTTCGAACAGCAGTCTACTACATGGGAGTCCGACATACCCATTATGCCAACTGCTGATCCCAAGAGAGGGTGAAGGAGAAAGCAAGCCATCAGGTCTAGGACTTGAACCATGGTCAGCCATGTGGGAGTCCAGTGCCTCAACCACCACATCACCTGCTAGGCCCCATTATTATTATATTTGTATCATACTACCGTGATTAAACAGCATTGCTGTTGGGCCTGCTCAGTGGGTGGGTGGTTGAGGCACCCAGATCCCACATGGCTAACTGCACGGTGTGAGTGCCCAGTGGTTCAAAAAACACACCAGGCACATGTGTGCCCAAAATCCCAAAAGGAGGGAGAGATGGAGAAGGGATTGCAGTGTGACCAGCCCCCTCTGGCCAAAAAAAGCAATATTGTTACACAGTAAAATGTGTTTGTCACGTGGTTTGACAAAGGAGAAAATAACCTTTAGACCAACAGGAGGGTAAGGCACTGGATGCCACGTGACCAACTTCCTGGTTTGACTCCTGGACCTAGAGGCTTGGAGATCACGCCAGGCCCATGTGCGTGTGTGTCCAAAGTCCTGAGGAGACTGAGGAAGAGAGATTACAGCGTGGTCGTCTCCCCTGGGCAGCGATTTCTCACTTTTCCCTCTCTCTCTGTTTCTCTCTGGCAAGCACATGCACCCTATAGCAAAAAAAAAAAAAAAAATACAACCTTACCTTTTTTTTTTTTTTTCAAGTTTACTGTGGGGTGCTTATGCTTGCCAGGAAAAAAAACAGAGAGAAGGGAGAAAGCACCCCTCAAGGGAGTTGGCCACGCTGCAATCCTTTGGCCTCCATTCTCCTCTCAGGATTTTGGGCGTGCAGGCACACACACCAGGCGTGTTTTGCAAGCCCCGGGGCCAGATCTTGATCCACATAGTCAGCCATGTGGAATCCATCCACCTTAACCTCCACGCCGCTGGCTGATCTGTTAAAAACAAAAACAAAAAACATGTCTTTGATAGGTATCAGTCAATATTGTAACACTAAGTGCCAATTAGAGCCTGTCCACCTTTTCTCCTTCAACTGGATCATTGTTTGCGTATTTGATTTATTGTCATTTGCTTTATAATAAATCATCTATGTGGGAGTGTCTGTTGATATTCTATACTTTAAAAACCTGTGTGTTTTTAGTTGATGATTCTAGTCTCTTTGTCTTTTTTAACCTAGAAAAGGAATCTCTTGTTGGCATTTGAAGCAGCTGAAAGTGTAGGCATCAAACCCAGCTTGGTAAGTATTCTGTCTTCTATCCTCATATACCTTATTCTAAGTTTATAAGAAAGAATTGTATGCCACCTACTACACAATTTCATTTTTTTATGTGTATCATAAAATTTCATTAAGATACCGCTTTTTTTCATTAGTTAGCTACTTTCTTTCTTTTTGTCTTTCTTTCTTTTTTTTAATTGCCAAAGGGTACGTGTGCTAACCAGCGAGAGACAGAGAGAGGAGGGGGAGAGGGGAACCACCCCTAAGGGGGCAGAGCCTGCTACAATCCCTTCTCAGCAGTCCTCCTCCTCCCCTTCTCCACCACGTCAGGATTTTGAACACACACACACATGGATCTGGGGTGTTTATCATGCCTCCCGGGGCGTGGATGCTAACCACAGCCAGCCATGAGGGATCTGGTTTCCTTAAACATTAGCTGTGGAGGGAACCAGCAGTTAGCGTAATGGCTATGTCGCTGGACTCCCACGTAGTTGACCGCGGTTCGTGTCCCAGACCCCGTGGCTTAAAACTCACGCCGGGTGCGTGTGCGTGCGTGCCCAAGATCCTGAGAGGAGAATGGAGAAGAAGGGATTGTGGCGTGACCATCCCCCCTGGGGGGTGATTTCTCGCTTTCTGTCTCTATGTCTCTCTCTGTCTGTCTGGCGAGCGCACGGGCCCTACAGTGAAAATCTCTCAAAAAAAAAAAAAAACATTAGCTGTGGAGCCAACCCAGTACAGTATGTTTTTGTTTATTTATTTTTATTTTATTTTATTTTTTAGTTTTTGCTATAAGGTTTATGTGCTCACCAGAGAGAAAGAGAAAGAGGGAGAGAGAGTAAATGAGAAATCCCTCCAGGGGGGATGACCATACTGCAGTCCCTTCTCCTCCATTCTCTCAGTATTTTGGGCATACACACACATACACACATCCCTGGTATGATTTTCAAGCCACTGGGTCCAGGACTTGAACCATGGATTTGGCCATGTGGGATCCAGTGCCTTAACCTCCGTGCCACCTGCTGGCCCTGTAGCATAGTTTTTAAGCAGGTGTACAGGTGTGCACTGATTAAGCCAAAGATGTAAGCACATTCACCATCTGCATTAAACACCACACTGGTGGTGCACATCTGGACTCTCAGGGCTTTTGGAAGTATAGGTTTCATTGTTACCCATAGCCTTTACAGTGACACACGGTTCCAAAACCCAGTCCACTGCTGACATGCACTCTCCCGTCTTAACCAGTTTCTCTCCACCCCTCCCTCCCCTCCAGCCTCTAATATCCACCAGTTCTGTCTCTGGACCCTCTGGTCCTTGGGCGTCTGCCAGTGAGTGAGGACGCTGTTTTGAAGCAGGAGCATTCGGTGTTTGCATAGCCTGCGTTATTTCACTTAGCATTACAGCTTCTCCGTTCGGCCGTTTTGTCTGAGGTGCCGGAACTCACTGTTCTTCCTGGGTGTCGCACTGAGTACATGGGCCAGTTTCTTCACCCCTCCCTCAGTTGGGCAAGGAGGTGGGTTTGGTGTCTTCGCTGTTGCGAGGAGCTCTGCGCTGAGCCTGAATGTGCGAGTGCCTCTTCCACACGGCGATTCCTGCCCTTCGGGTGCGTGCCTAACAGCGGGGCGGCGGCAGCCTCTTATGGACGGGAAACCCACCTGGCTGGAGCTGTGAGGTGGGATCTCTAACAGAGTTAGCTAGTTGGTCCGACACATGTGATGTAGCACTGTTTCAATGAAGAAATACCACTGGACAGAATTATCTTCTCTTGGGACCAGCAGTTAGCGTAATGGCTATGCCGCTGGACTCCCATGTAGTCGACCGCGGTTCAAGTCCCAGACCTGGTGGCTTAAACTCACGCCAGGCGCGTGTGCGTGCGTGCCCAAGATCCCGAGAGGAGAATGGAGGAGAAGGGATTGCGGCGTGGCCAGCCCCCTGGGGGGTGATTTCTCACTTTTTGTTTCTCTGTCTCTCTGTCTTTCTGGCGAGCGCACATGCCCTATAGTGAAAACCTCTCCAAAAAAAAAAAAAAATACCTGCTCAGAAAAAAACAGAGCCATGTGATGTTTGGAGTCTGTTTGGAGTCCAAATGTCTGCCATCCATGGGGGCTGACGCCCTCTCTGTTGCAGGAAGCTCTGGGGTAGGTAGTACAATGACCGCCAAAAATATGCTCACAGCCGTAATTACGAAAGACTCCAGAAAATGTTTCTCTTGAGCTTATCAGCAGTTGCAACCAATAAGATTATTTACCAGAACTAGGGGTAATAAGTAGTAAGAAAGAGATTACTAGAATATTATGTTTGAGGCCGGCCCGTGGCTTGGTGACTAAGGTAGCCGGATCCCTCATGGCCAAGTGTGCAGTTCGTGTCCTGGACCTGGCCGCTTGAGAAACGCATTGGATACATGTGTGAGCACGCCCACAGTCCCAAAGGGGGGGAAATTGAGAATGGGCTGCAGCATGTCCGTTCCTCACGTTTCCTTCTCTCTCTCTATCTCTGTCTCTCTCCAGCAAGTGCGTGCATCCTCTGACAAAAATTTTTTTTAATTATATTTCAACATATTAAAGAGGCAAAAAGAGTAGAAATCATATTACTGTTTTTAAAAAGAGTCTGGAAAAGAATCAAATAAAACTTCTAGAATGAATACTTGGAATTAAAAACACTGACATGGGTCGCCACACTGAGCAGAGAGGACTACTTCACTGGGAGATAAGCATAAGGAAATTATGCAGAACACAAAGCAGAGATAGAAAAAAAGAAAAAGAAAGAAGGAAATAGCTGAAGGGTTTTATTATTGATGGTATGCATCTAACTTTAAGAAATGAAAACCCTGGGAACCAGCAGTTGGCGTAATGGCTATGTCGCTGGACTCCCATGTAGTCAACTGCAGTTCGCGTCCCGGACCCGGTGGCTTAAAACTCACGCCGGGCACGTGTGCGTGCGTGCCCAAGATCCTGAGAGGAGAATGGAGGAGAAGGGATTGCAGCGTGGCCATCCCCTCTGGGGGGTGATTTCTCACTTTCTGTCTCTCTGTCTCTCTCTGTCTGGCTGGCGAGCGCACACGCCCTATAGTGAAAAACCTCTCCAAAAAAAAAAAAGAAATGAAAACCCAGGCAGGCCTAGTGGGTAAGGGAGCTGGATCCCACATGGCCTTCTATAGTCTGAGTTTCAGCCCTAGAGGCTTGAATAATATGCCAGGCACATGTGCACGCATGCCCAGAATCCCAGTAGGGTGGAGAAGTGGAGACCGGATTGCAGTAGGACCACATCCCACTGGGGGGTTCTTTCTCCCCTTCCCCCCTCTCTTACCCTCACCTCTCTGTCTCCCTCTGGTGAGTGCATGCACCCCCTGGCAATCAAAAAGAGAGAAAGAAGGGAGAAGGCAGGCAGGCAGGTGGGTCCAGCTAAAAGTCACTCAAACCATGAAGGCAGTAATATTTGGGTTTTGTTTTGTTTCAATGGGAAGTTTTGAAGCAGTGTTAGGGTTAGTTCACTGCTCAGCATTGTGATCAAGGACCCCACCTTTTTTTTCAACAGAGAACTTTACATTTTCCTGTCTGTCAGATGTTCCCCTTGCACCTCACACCTCCCCTCCACCACCCACTCTCTCCCATCCGCTCTCCCCACTTGGTACAAATTGGCTTTCTGTTCTGTTTTCTCTCTAACTCATAAGGAAAGAATTTTTTAAAAAGATGTGGTGATGGCCACCTACAGTCCTAGCAGGAAGGCTGAGGCAGGAGGGTTGTGACAGACCCTTTATTTTTAGAGAGATTTTTACACCCACAGGCCGACCACCGCACACACAGACCGAGCTCTTCAGCTCCCTGTGGAGGGAGGGCCCCGTTTTCAGGAATCCTGGAGGGCAGCAGAGGGATTCCTTAGGGCACGCATGCCTGTTCTGCTCTGCAGTCTGACCACGGCCAAGTGTTAGGTCACTAATTTGAACTTCGTGACCTGGAAAAATTCTTTTGCATTTACCACATGCCGGGCCCCATGCTGGGCCTTTTCCACAGACCCCTGCAGAACTGTGAGCGGGCTGCATGTCACTGGGGGGGCCTGGAGCTGGCCTCCGCCCTTGGCCGCTCTGAGTCCCCCTGCTGGGCCCTTAGAGAACAGTCCGTCCACGCATGGGGCGGCCCCGGCCTTGTTGCGTTCTAGCTTGTCGGATTATACAGCGTAGCCCTGCCTCATTCCCTGCTGGACCATGAGCTCCCAGGAGCAAGAGAGCTCTTCTTTTCTATTTTTATTGTGGTAAGATACTCCTAAAATTTCCCGTCTTCCTGTTTTCATTGCCAGAGGGTTTGCTCACCAGAGGGAGGAGAAAGCACCCCCAGTGGGACCTGGTCATGCCGCAGCCCCTTCTCCATCTCACCATCGTGTCGGGGTGTCAGACACGGGCACGTGCGCCCTGTGTGTTCTTCACGCTGCCGGATTCGGGATTTGAACTGCAGTTGGCCACGTGGGATCCAGCTCCTTTAACCACTAGGCTATGGGGCTGGGCCCCTGGCTTTGCCATTTTATAGTGTGCAGCTCGGTGGTGTTAAGCATGTTCCAGAATTCCTCTTGAAAACACTGCGACTGTGCACCCGTTAACACTGCCACCCCGCCCCGCCCCGCCCCGGGGCCCTGGCGGCCACAGTCCTGCGCTCCTTCCCTGTGAATTCCCCTATTCCAGGTTCCTCTTGTAAGGCATCCCTGGGTGTTCGTCCTGGCTTACTTCGCTGAGCACCGTGCCCTCGAGGGGTGCTCATGGTTAGACGGCAGAGTGTCCTTCCTCGTCAGGCTGAACCACTGTCCCGGTTGCACGTGTATACCGCGTTGCTTCCATCTTGTCACCCGTTAATGGACCCTGTGTCGCTTGCACCTTTAGCTGTTGTAAGTAGTGGAGAGGCATCTAATCTTGGGGCAAGCAGGTAGTATGGTGGTTAAGGCTGTGGACTCCCATATGGTCAACCATGGTTTGAGTCCCAGACCCAGTGGCCTGAAAATCATGCCAGGCCACGTGTGTACATGCCCGAAATCCTAAG